GTGAGCTGCAAACATAAATTAGGTGGATAGATGGGAGGGCAGCACGGTGGCACAGTGGGCAGCGCTGTCGCCTCACAGCAAGAAGGTCGCTGGTTCGAGCCTCGGCTGGGTCAGTTGCCATGTCTGTGTGGAGTTTGCATGTTCTCCCCATGTTCGTGTGGGTTTCTTTCGGGTGCTCCGGTCTCCACCACAGTCCAAAGACATGTGGTATAGGTGAATTGGGTAAGCTAAATTGTCCGCAGTGTATGTGTGTGAATGGAAGTGCATGGGTGTTTTCCAGTTATGAATTGCAGCTGAAGGGCATCTGCTGCCTAAAACATATGCTGGATAAGTTGGCAGTTCATTCCACTGTGGTGATACCAGATTAATAAAGGGACAAGAAAATGAATGAATGAATCAATTAATGGATGGATAGATAGAAGGCACTTTGAGCTTGGTCTAGACTAGGGGTGCCCAAACTTTTTGTTATGAAGGGCCAAACACCCAAATTGGATTGAGAGATGTGGGTCGAAGATAAATAAATCAAGCTGTATAATAAAGTTGCCCTAGATTATGGCCTCATTTCTTTCAAAAATATTTAGAAAACACGACTTTAATCAGATTAAGTAATTTTAATAATTTTTTTCACTTTATAATTAACCTATTATAATGAAAACAGTGGAATTCCATTTATAACACAATGGAGTTTAATGGCGAATACACTAGTCAAGCTGCACCTGCCTTTGTCTTAATTTGCTCACTGAGGATTTCTGAGCAACAGGTTGTTCATTAAAAAAAGAATAGTTTACAACATATAATTAAGACATTTAATCAAAGTTAGTTTTTTGCTTAAAATAAAACAAACGAAAGGTCACATTAAATTAGAAATTACAATGTGTATTAAAGGTATTGACCCCAACCCTCCCTAAAATTCGCCCTCTCTTCTTTGATGGAATCATGAGCCAAATCAAAGGTTACCATGGACCAACTTTGGCCCACGAGCCCTAATTTGGCCATCTCTGGTCTAGACAGTCTAATGCTAAAACATATAAAAGGGTAAACATGCTGAAGTATTTAGCAAGAACAATTGTGTTCATATATAATAGTTTTTTTTATTTTTCATTTACATCAGTGTTTTTTAACCACATTCCTGGAGGACCACCAGCTCTGCACATTTTCCATGTCTCCTTAACCAAACACACCCGATTCAGATCATCAGCTCATTGAGAGACTGAAAGACCTGCAATAGTTGTGACAGAAAAAGGAGACATCCCAAACATGCAGTGTTGGTGGTCCTCCAGTACTATGGTTGGGAAGTCTGATATAATTAACACATGAAGTTATTCTTGTAATAATCTAGAAAACAATATCTTTTGAAAGCCAAGTATCTCATCAAGTGTTTTATAAAGATAGCATACAAAATAAGATTTTATGAGTCTATATATGTGTCTTTTACTCCCTCACAGTCAATTCTTGCTATAAACAAACCATTAATGATCCATTAATACAGCCAAGAGGGACACTGGTTGAGTTTGCATGTTCTCCCAGTGTTAGTTTGGGTTTGCTCTGGGTGCTCCAGTTCCCCCACAGTCCAAAGACATGCGCTATAGGTGAATTGAATAAGCTAAATTGGCCGTAGTGTATGTGTGTGAATGAGTGTGTATGAATGTTTCCAAGTACTCGGTTGCAGCTGGAAGAGCATCCGCTATGTAAAGCATATGCAGGATAAGTTGGCGATTCATTCCGCTGTGGTGATCCCTGATGAATAAAGGGACTAAGCCAAAGAATAATAAATGAATGAATAAACAGCCAATAGCAGATAATAGGCAAGTATTATGTAGGAATTAGGAAAGACTTGAAAGCAAAACACATATACGCATTATAAAGTAGCTTTATAAAAGTTTATAATAATCTGTGAAGCTACACTGAAAAAATGATACAATAATGCCAAATACATTGCTTTTTTCCTCTCTCCTCTCACAATGTTCAAACACATGGAGGTTTCTAAAGCTGTGTGTGTTGTGCTGGAAGGCTTAAGGATTCACTTTTGATTTCTTCTTCCTTCAGCTTGATAAATCACTCTGGCGCCCAATCCCTCTGTCCTTCACTTCCCATCTTTTTTCCCTTCCCCTCGGCATCATAATGCATTTGTTGTTTCTTCCTCTATTACCCCTTTCTCTGTTCTGGATTTGGAGGCAGTCAGTGAGAGCATATTAAAAGCATTGGTGTAAATTATGGTATGAGTCATAGCAAACTCAACAGCAGACATTCAGAGTATTTTTGAGAAAAGACTGAATGGAGCTCGCAACGATACACTCATTGATGGTAAAAGGTGAGAGAGAAAAGGCTGGAAAAAAAGAAAATTGCACAGTAGCTACATAATGAGTCCTTATGTGTGCGTGTGTGTGTGTGTGTGTGTGTGCGTGTGTGTGTGTGTGTGTGTGTGTGTGTGTGTGTGTGTGTGTGTGTGTGTGTGTGTGTGTGTGTGTGTGTGAGAGAAAGAATGCATTTGTACCCATATTTTTCTTTCCTTTGGATTAGACGCATGTAATCATAATTAGGCAGTGGTGCATTTGATTACCTGTATGTCCTCTTTGCACTTTGAGCATCATGACAAGTGTGGTAATCTCCAAACTCTCCCTCAAGACATGGATTTTCCTTTGAAGCTCTGTGCTCGGCATTATAGGTACCTAGATGCAACGTAACCTCTATTCCCGCTGGCACATGCACAACTTCACCAGCCATTACTTACATCAGAGCATCTTGTAGACTCGGATTAGTCAGTAATAGGCAAAAGTAAAAGGAACAGATGGGTTTGACCTTTGAATAAATGAACTGGCTTGTCATTACCCATGGGGCTTGATGCTGTTGTCTCTCAAATTTAAGGACACTCAGGCATAAGGTTGTTAGTTCTGCTATCTTGCCTTTCAGTTGGTTTCATTGACTGTATTTTAAAAGCATAACATCTTTAGATCTGATACAGTATATACTGTATGTAATCTTTGGGAATTTTGGGGTTTTGGTCAGGATAAAATACTGCTATTTTTGGGGAATTTTCTCCCCAGTTGAATGTAAACAAAATAAAAGACATGGAGATAGATTACAGGTTTCTCATATCCCCAGCATAACAACTATTAAAGGCAGGGCCGGAGTGGGACTCCTTTTCAGTCCTGGAGTTTCAAGCCTTAGACCGGTTCACTTCAGTTCATGACTGACAATATTAAAATAACATTATTACCACAGTAGTGAAGATTTATTTGAACGGTTAACACAATGTAATATCTAACAGTATCAGAATCTATTTTCTGTAAGAATTAGTGAAAAAATGAAAAAATATCAAATAAATAAATACAAATATATATATTAAGCTATATGTATAAAATAAAGATTACAATTAAATGTATTGAATTGTCGAATGACACTATCATGTCTTTTTTTTAAGCAAACAGCTGCTTTATAACTTCAAATATTTGTTATAAACATGAGAACATTAAAAGGTAGCTTAATGTCCAACACTATTCTTTTAAATATCACAATGTTCTTTCTTGCAATATCTGAATATGTATTCTGTGCAAAATTGTTCTCAGATATCAGGTCTTAAACACAAATAAAGAATAAAACAAGTTTCGCACTGTTATCTGGCATACTTTTTTTTAACCAGTGTTACTTTCTAACGATAGCTTTATCTTGTTTCCCCTTTTTAGCATTCTTCTAGCCTGATCAAGTTAAGTCAGATTTATTAATGTTGTGAATCATCTGATTTCATTAATTGTCTCAGGGCATTTTTAATTGAGCAGGTGTAATATTCATTAATATTAATTATTCAAATTCTTATATTCACTCAATGACAATCCTAACTCATTCTAGAGTGTTGGGCTCATGACTGGTGCTTGGTAACGTTACGGGGCCTGACTATTCACTGTTAACAGCAAACTAGACAAGAGGCTGCTGCTGCTGAACAGCTACAGTACAAGAAAATGTTCGGTACATAAACAGTGGTTTGCAGACATCATTGTTTTGCACTGCTCCTAACTAGCTTAACGTTAACTACCAGCTGTTTCATCGTCTTCAAGTGTTGTACTCTTGCTGCCGTTGGTTTTAACGAAAAATGTACTCTGTCTTTTAAATTGTGAACTTTTCAGCGCCACCTTTACGCTTTTTGTTTTAAGTTTTTTTTTTATCTCTCGCAATGATTTTTCTGATGAGCAAGGTGCCGCTGTTGGGGAGTCAAATGATAATGACATCATTATTAACCTGCGGGCTGCATTCTGCTCATGGGGCTGCGAGAAAAAAAATGGAGTTTTGGTAAAATAAGGAATTAAAAGAGTGAGGCTATGGTCAAATAAATAAATAAAAATGGGAATACTGGTCCTCCCGATTAGCCAATCCGGGTCTGATTAAAGGTTTGGAGTTGGACACTGAAATTGTTGGCACATAAATATCCAGGGGTTGTTAATGACACCCAGGCTGTCTATAAAAAATTTCAACTAAGACTGAGGAAACTTAGAATTTTGGTTTTGAACCTCTACACTGTAAAAAAACTATATATATATATATATATATATATATATTTATATTTATTTATTTATAATACATTATGACTTTTACTTATTTTGTTGTTTGCTGTATAATTACAGTATGGTAGTGCAGTGGATAGTGCTATCGCGGCACAGCAAGAAGGTCGCTGGTTCGAGGCCCGGCTCGGTGTGGAGTTTATTCTCCCCGTATTTGTGTTTATCCAAAACCTCCAGGTGCTCTGGTTTCCCCCACCAGTCCAAAGACATACGGTACAGGTGAATTGGGTAAGCTAAATTGTCCTTAGTGTATGCCCTGGTCCTTCAGGTTGGGGGTTGAGCGTTGGGCTAACAACCCACCTTGTAAAAATTAGATGTTGTAAAAAAACAACATGGTGTGGCTGAAAATCAACTTCAATATAAACGACTCTGGGAGTATACTATGTTGATATGGCAACTAGCCAAAGTCTAAACATTGCTATGCTTTAATTAAATAGTATTTTACGTTGAAACTTACCAACCACGACAGAATCCTGGTCTGCATTCTGGTGAAATGTGGGTGGGATTGAGTAAGTACACTTCATAATGACCACAACTAGTTTCGGACATCACTAAAATTGCTGCTTCCTCAAAGTTAGTTTGTGCTCCAATCACCTCCTTGAATTAGTGAACCCCTTTTTTTATTGGTGTGTACATAAGTATATTGGTGTGTCGCGTAATTCTAATTAATCAGAGCTGGTAATGTGTGTTTTGTAGTTTTGTGTCCAGCGGGCTGTGGGCGGTTCTGGGGGCGCGGCGTCTGAAGCGAAGACTGATGCGCCGTGAACCCGGCGGACTTTAGGACCCGAGCATAGTAAAAGAAAAGGGAAATGTTTGATGGATCGTGAAGTTCATCCAAGCTTTCTGTTGGCGTGGTATCATTGCACATGCTAAGAGACGCTATTTAACTTCACACTGGCTAATTCTCCAGATGAAAATGCAGCGTGTCTCGTGAATGAAAGCCGATGACCGAGTGCAGGTGACGGGCTGTAATGTTTGAAGCTGCGCTCCCTCGCTCCGTAGCTCGGTCGGTCAGTCGGGGATCTGTCAGCAGTGCGGAAGAGAGAGAGTGAGAGAGAGGGATGGGGCAGATATATGCCATTAAACTGACTCACAAGAGACTGAAATGATGCAGAGATTCCGCCACGAAATAAAGCCCGAGCATCACTGAAGATAACCAGACAGAGAAAGACGCGTGCTCGGATGGAGCTGTGAGCAGTAGCAGCAGCGGTGGTGACATTGATGAAGCCCGCTGTCACTCATCCGACGCACGCAGAGGAGCATCTGTGACAGCGCGATTTTGGAAGTGAAACTTTTTAACAGACAGATTGATCCGAGCGTCGTCTGCTCGAGCCAAAATCGAAAGCAACTTCACAAATTGCAGACGCTGCGATCGGGAGCTTGTTGAACAAAAGACACGCGACCAAGTTGACAGGTGAGTAGTAGCGTTAACAGTTGTGATCTGCGCGCGGAGAGCTTTTGTGTCGGTCATTCGGTGCTCGAGTGAGGCTCTGCGGGAGAATTTGAGGCAGTGCTGCTGGATGAACAATGCAGCTGCTTACTTTAGTGTGGAGGAGAGCCGAAGGGGCGGTTTCTTACTCCGAGAGCCCCCTTCTGTCACCCTCACTATACACTGTATGCTCACTACAGAAGAAGCAGGGCTTTGTGGTCTGAAATTTGGTTTGTAGGCTAACGTTACTACAAATTCACCATTAGCGAGTATGATGACGTCAGTAAGCAAATTCGGGTTAGTGAGGAAAACTAAATTTTATATACTTTAAATTCACAGTTCTGAGATGTCGAGAGAGCTGTCTGGCTTGTAGCATAGTGTATTTTTAATGTTGAACGAGTTTTTTGTTTCTAAAAAGTAATGGTATAAGAAGGGGGTTATAATATAATCTGTCTGACGCCGTGGTGTAATTGTCTGTGTAGTATCTATTAACTAGTGTGAGAAGAACCCCGTCCTAAAATGTAAGCTAAGGCTTTTGTGGTTTATTTTATTTATATTGTGAATGTTTAATATTATAGTTGTCCCAAATCACTAAATCAGTGTAATTTTGATCTTATTTATTCAATTATTTATGCATTTTTAAATTGATATAGTTAATAAATAAATATCTAAAATTGAAATATTGTTTTATTCTCCCCAATAGTGAAGTTTAGACTGGACTTTTCTGCACCTCATCCACCTACACTATTCTTAATAAACGGTGTCCGAAAATACTAAACTTTGATATAACACAATACACGCATATTAAATATCCCCCGTATAGCTTTGTCTAGAGTGGAGAAACTAAATCATGGTTACCATAGTTATTTATTGATTTCTGTCTGGATGAGAATCATAGATGTAAATGGTGTGAATAAAAGTTTGTGCATCTCAGGTGACCCTTTTTAAAAATACTCTTTCCCAATGAATATAACCAGACTGCAATCAATACAAGCAATTTAACCAGAAAAATAAAAGGAGTCCAGAGATGCCTGCAGTATACATTGCTTGTTCTATAACATTTTATTCAGCTTTAAACAGATGGCAGACCATGAACGTTTTGGCGTATTCTCTGTTATGCAGGCAAAAAAAATCCCTTGTCCTATTCTGGTCTGTTTTAAACTGGACATTGCTGGATAAATCTGGTGTTCATCTAGTTTTAGCTGGTCAAACTGCATCTTACACCATCCTGCAGAATCGCTCTTTTTTTCAATAAGAGTAGAGAAAATAAGGGAAGTTTTGCATTAACTCCCACTCCCATGTTTATAATTTTGAAAAAAAAATCATAATTTATATGAATTGTTTATTTTAAGAATTTATTTCATATTATTATGTTTTTTTTTCATATTATTATAAAGTGAGTGCAGTTGATATTTTCCCCCTTTAGATTAGATTTTTTTAGACCAAATTAATGGTCTATAAAAATCATACATTTTTATCATGATATACTTAAGACACCCACTAAAATGTCATTTAGCATCATGACTTCATCACAAAAAAAAAAACCCAGAATACTAATGAATGAAAATTAAGTGAGTGGGCTTGACAAACCACCTGAAGAATAAACACCCTTTCATCTCTCTCACACTTTAACCAAAGTTAAAGCATTTATGACAGGTGAGTGGGCTTGACAAACCACTTGTAGAAACACCCTTCTCTCTATTCAAGAGAGAAAGGTTGCCTCTTTTTGTTGATTCCCTGAATGCCTCCTCAATTGAAAGTCACTTTGATCGAAAGCATCTGCTAAACGACTAAATGTAAATGTAATTTCTAAGGAGTAATTAAATTGAAAGCGTCCATCTTTTTATCAGGAAGGTTTTTATAAGACAAAATATGATAACATTTCACAAAATCACTTGGTGTTTTATGTATGTTAATAAGTACAGTATTTTTTACCTGAATATATCTGTTGTGTTAAATAATGATTGGCCATTAACAGTTTATTCAGTCATTTGAAGCATAGAAAAGACGCTCTCATTTAATATGGTGTTATAAATTGAATTAGAATTGGACACCAAATTAAGATACCTCGTCTTTGACCCTAATACAATTTATAGTAAAATTAATCACAATTCAGTACAGACTTCACATAGACCATCTAGCTTTTTTGTCTGAACCTCTCTGTAGCATGTAATTTGGGGTTCTAATGCAATATCTGGACGCATTACATGCCATTGACCTGTTAGATTGGTTCGGTAACACACACCAGATTGCTTTCCCTTCTTCCCCTGTAAATCTAATCCTCATCGACTGTATTGATTCTACTATGCTTGAAGGATTTCTCAGAATCACTGACTAGACAGGAATGCCACGAAGCGGCCATTCAGAAGAATAGAATAATGTGGCTAAATACAGCTCTGTTTTACTGGTATCGCTGTATACATTTGTACATATTCTGAGTATTGTTGGCTACCAAAACTGGGTGCCATTTACAGTATCAGACTAAATCAGAATAAAGATTACTGTGCTTCATTTTGGTGGTACCACTTAAATGCCTGAGCTGTCGATTGAAATCAGAGGGGCAGGAAGTTGAAAACATGATTCTCTTTTATGAAGGAATCACATAGGCTACATATTAACCAGTTGCATTTACAGTAATATAACTGTAATTTGTTATTATTGTGAGACCTACTTACTGTATGTGCAGCTTAACTTCAGCTAACTGTGCATATTATGTTTGAGCAGTGTGTACATGGGCTTTATACCGGTGTTTTTGCACTACTTTAGTTACATTTAGCATCAAACCCCAGTTCATTATTTGCTCCACAGTAAGAAAAGAAACAGGAAACAGCACCAAAGACAACAATAATCGGATGATTTTTTTCCTCTTTTTAAAAATTTGTATTTAATATTTTTCACACTAGCTTTTGGAGCATTATCGTAAGTTTTTTTTTTTTTTTTTTTTTGTTAGATAAGCTCCAGATTTGGCATCAGTACTGACTAATCTAATGTATATGCACATATATAATATTGTATAGCTTCCTGTTAAAAAATGAATATAAAAGATTGATTTGTGAGGGGTGTACTTATATATGCTGAGCATTGTATTTATTTGGAAATGTATCGTTCATTTATTCGTTTAAGTGATTTTTATGATAAGGCTGGACATGCAATAAGTCAGTGTAATAAGAGAATTTTAATTATAATATTAATTTTATAATAGGTTTTTTTACTAGAGGCTGCAAATTGGTAGTTTTACTTTTTTATTTATGAAATTGGAAACTGGTTTATAGCAAACTAAAAGACAAACTACTTTGCTATTATTAATACTTTTATGGTTAGGTGACAGATAACGCACATCTACTGCAGGTAGTTGTTCTCGCAGAATAAAGCATGGCTATTTTGTATTAGACTTTTTCTGTGAAAACAACTTCTTAGATGTACATTAATTGTTTGCATTTTGTGTCAAGTAGCCATAATAATAAATGGGCAATAAACAGTATAGACACAACACATTGTTCTGTGCTGTTATAATTTACAAACATTATAATTAAGCAAAGTTTGCAGAAGCATACATGGTTAAATGCAGCCTCCACTAACCTACATATTATTCACTCACAAGGTGCAGCCAAACAACTATACTCACTAACTGCTTGTAGTATCCAGATGAGCCTGTGTTATTGGTTTAAGCAAATATTATCTGGGAATAGCATACTTTGGAATGTCCTGATCAGCCAATCAGAATACAGAATTCCAGAATCCACTATTTCCAATAAGAGTTAAATTGTACTATAGTTATTTGCTTTGTAGCTGTCTGAGTTTTTATTCTGAATTTGTTATATATAATTAAGTTTTTTCTTATGCATTTAAAAAGTGTGATGTATTGTTAAATTACTTTTTTTGTTTTGTTTTCAATAACAAAGTTGTTCTTTAATGTCATCCATAGCCTCTTTGGCTCCTTTTTTAACACTAGAACTACAGAGGTATACATTGGAATAACTTTGTTGAAATAAAACAAACATATCTGTAATTCCCTCACCTCCACTAAATATGTGCATGATTTAGTTGAACATTATAATTTTATTAAAATTCCAAAACATAAAAGACTTCTGATTATTTCTACCTAGAACTATAGTGGTCAGAGTGACAGCATGCATTCCGGTGTCTGCCACTGGTGTCTTCCACTCTTTCCTGTGACTTTAAATATGCATGCCTCTGTTGCCTGGCAACTTCTTGCTAACAAAAACATTACTTTCTGATAGCAAATGCATAACTTTAACAGCATAACATCATTAAATTTGATGACAGACAATCAAAGCTTAAGTACCGCTGGTAATTCTAGTTACAGAATTCTGGTATAGTTCCAGTGAAAACAGTATCATATCAGGCACCAGTTTTTTATTCTCAAGTATCAAATCTCCACTGTATTGTAAAAAAAATCCAAGCAATATCAATATCCAATCCTAATATCGAGTATGGAGTTCAAGAGGCATTCCTTATCTGCTTTTACTGCAAATTAGATGGCTGTTCTCCAAATGTAAGCTGCTAGACACAGTATTTCTCATTCTTGGTGCACCACGGCCAGCAGAGTCGCAGGGGCCGCTGAGAGCTGGATGTGAGAGAATAATTCAGAGGTTCTCCATCTATTGGCGGCACTCAGTCGCTCCTGGTGAGTGCGAGAAAAGATGCAGTGCTTCCTGTGTCTCTGTGACTGTGTTAAACTGATAACGCATAATCAGCCTTTATTAAAATGCAAGCCAGGATCAGGCTGATGTGCTAGTCGGTGTGTTGTTAAATATATGCTGACTACAGACAGAGGAGTTGAGCTGTGAGGCAGACAGTTGTGAGGATCTCTTGGTGAATATTATGCTAGAGAGGAGTTTTCTCTTTCAAAACAGTACTATTTACTATATATTAGATTACTATTTTACTATATGAGCAATTCCATACAAATGTCAACCTTGCCATAAAAAAACATTTCCACCAAAATAGCAAAGCCCTTTCTA